TTCCTAATGTGAATAAATCCTGTCTCTCAGTATCTTCTCCAACAGCTTCCCCACCACTGACATTAGGCTCGCCAGCGTATCATTACCTGGAATTTCTGTTTCCCTTCTTAACCAAAGGAACAACATCAGTCATTCTCCAGTCCTCTTCAAGCAGACCACTATCATTCCAGTGCCAAAGAAAAATCAGGCAACATGCCTTAATGACTGCTGCCCATCTCATATCCATCATTATAAAGAGCTTCAAGAGGTTAGTAATGGCATACATCAACTTCAGCCTCCCAAATCACCTTGATCGACAAGAATTTGTTTACTGTCAGAATAGGTCTATGATAGACGCCATCTCCCAGGCTCTACACTCAAACCTGGAATATCTGGATAACAGAGGCACCTACATCAAACTCCTATTTATTGTCTTGAGCTCCACATTCAACACCATAACTTCAATAAAATTCATTCCAAATGCCGAGGCCTAGGACTCACCCCTCTACAACTGGATCCTCAGCCTCCTGACCCACAGACTGCAATCACTAAGGATAGGCGACAATACCTCCTTCACAATAATCCTCAACACCAGTGCCTCTAAGGCTGCATACTCAGCCCCTTACTATACTCCTACACTTAGCACTGTGGCCAAATTCAGCTGTAACTTCATTTACAAATTTGCTGATGACACTACCATAGGGGGTCGGATCTCAAACAACAACGAGACAGAGTACAGGAAGGAGATAGACAGCTTTGTGGCACAGTGAAAGGACGACAATCTCTCCCTCAATGTCAGCAAAATGACTTCAGGAAGTGAAGTGGAGGACATGCCCTTTCTGTATCAATGGTGCTGAAGAGGTTGAGACCTTCAGGTTTCTAGGAGTAATTATCACCAACGATCTATCCTGGTCCAGCCAACTTGACACTACAGTCAAGAAAGCACACCAACAGCTCTACTTCCTCAGGAGGGTAAGGCAATTCGACATGTTTACAATGACTCTTACCAATTTTTATAGATGCACCATGGAACGCATTCCATCCAGATGCATCACAGTTTGGTATGGCAACTGCTCTGTCCAAGACCGCAAGAAATTACAGAGAGTTGTGAACACAGCCCAGTCCATCATGTAAACCAGTCTTCTTTCCATTGACGGTGTCTACACTTCCCACTGCCTCAGGAAAGCATAATGAACGGCCCCCCCCATCCTGGTTATACTCTCTTCCACCTTCTTCAATCGGGCTGAAGATATAAAAGTTGAAACCACATACCAATAGATTTAAGAACAGTTTCCTCCCCGCTGTTATCAGACAATGAACAGACCCCTCAGAGAATCGAGTTGACCTTTCTCTGCACCTTCTCTGTAGCTGTAACACTATATTCTGCATTCTGTTCTATTACCCTAAGGTACGTATATAAGGTATGATTTGTCTGTTTAGAACACAATACAATACTTTTCATGGTATTTTGGTACATGTGACAATAATAAATCGAATGAAATCAAAGATAATTTATCTTCTCCTCACCAATATGCTACATGCCTCATTGTATTCATACATTATCATTCATCGGACTGGTTCAGCATTTATTCACGTCTAAGATTCCATTGAATCACAACCAAGAGTAACAGCTCAATAGTTTCCTCGTTGTTTGTAAGGTTCCAGTAAAATAAATTTGATTATTTCTAAATTCATTTAAATTTAATTTGCTTCTAAGTCCACTGAACAAAGCTGTTCTTTCTTTAATATTGAATCATCAATGCCAGTATGACAATTGGAAATATGTAAAATAATCATAACAACCAAAAGAACTGTGAATGCCATAATTCAGGAACAAAAACAAAGTTGCTGGAAAAGCTCAGCAGGTCTGGCAGCATCTGTGAAGGAAGAAACAGAGTTAACGTTTCGAGTCCGGTGACCCTTCCTCAGTTCTAAACTGGACCTGAAACGTTAACAGCTGCTGGTTCATATTTGCTTTTGTAAAAAGATTTTGCCCTGTGCTGCTTTCAGCTGTAGCTTGAGTTTTTTTTAATTTTACCTTTTTTCCCAGGAATTGCCCAGTCCAATAGACATGGCTGGCTCCTTCCATGACCGCGGTTTCCCACCAACTGTGGTTGACAGGGCCTTCAACTGTATCCGACACATCACCCGTGGCTTCCGCCTTTGCCCCTTCCTATCACTCACACCAGCATGATCGGGTTCCCCTTGTTCTTACTTTTCATCCCACCAGCCTCCGCATTCAAAGGAACATTCTCTGCCATTTCAGACAACTCCAGCAGAACGTCGCCACCAAACACATCTTCCCCTCACTCCCTCTGTCTGAGTTTTGCAGGGACCATTCCCTCCAGGACACCCTAGTCCATTCCACAACCACCAACACCAACCCCATCTCCCCGGCACCTTCCTATGTAACTGCAGAAGGTGCAACACGTGCCCCTTCACCTCCTCCCTGCTCACCATCCAAGGGCCTAAACAGTG